AAATGAGAAATTAAGTCATTAAGCATGGCATCAAATTAAGGACCGCACTTAAAACCCACTGTTAAATATTTAATAATAAGATGTGCAAAAAATAATTTGGAGGCTAAAACATTTTTTACGTTCATATCAGCTGCAAAGACCTACCGGCTGAAAGATTTTTATCTTCTTTTTTCCCGTTGGATTAGTAGCCTTCTCTATCCTTCCTTTGATACCCAGGTCCTCTGTTGCTTTCTCATCAGTACCAGTAGTTTGTGCAGATGAAGCTGCTGCTCGAACAGCTGACGGACTGGAGTCCCCTCCGGCATTATTACCTTTAACAGCACTTGTAGACGAGGTAACAGGAGGAGTGGAAGCATTGGTCGGCGAAGCAAAATCAGTTTTGGGCTTCCCAATTTCCATATTTGTAGAAAGAATAGAAGTTGCAGGCCTGACCACCTGGTTTTTCTTAGCGGTGCAGTTTGGGCAGATGTAGTCTTCCCCATTTCTCTCCATCAGCCGTCCACGGGCCTCAGTGATTCCCACACAGTCCCCATGAAACCACTCTTCACAGCGGTCACAGCAGATCATAAACCTGGTGAGCAGTGAATATCAAGACATTCTCAAATAATAGTAATTAAAACATTTTTTTACTTGTGTATGAAATGATTCCTACAAAAGGCAACTAAGAGACAGTAGAGAGAAACAAAAACAAGTTTATGCACTACAGGATAAAGAGAGGCCAAAACAAACCTTTTGTTATGTTTTTGACGACAGATGCAGTAAAGTGCATTGGGGTCATAGCCTCCATCATCAGACTCCACTGAAGATGACGATGTGGATAAGTCATTCTCATCCTCATCATCTTCATCATCTTCTTCTTCTTCTTCTTCCTCCTCCTCCTCCCCCTCTTCCTCCTCCTCCTGTGTCTGGGGTTTCCGTGTTTTTACACCACTCTGGGTAGCTTTAGGCTTTGCTTCCTTCTTTACAAGAGCATTGTTCTTGTTGTCAGGAGCTTTAACAGGTGTAATGTTCTGATTAGCTGCCTTCTTTTTATTGACATATGTCCGTATTGGTCCACGTTTTCCCTGCACTGCTGCAGCCTTGTCTGCCTCATCCTCGCCAGTCTTCTCAAGTTCATCATTTTTATCGTCATTCTTCTCCTCAGCAAACTCCTTCTTCTCAGAGTCCTCCTCTGGCTGAGCCTGTGCTGCACTGACACTCCCTACAGCTTCAGAAGTGAGATCACTCTTTTCTTCTTTTTTCTCCTCACTGTCATCCTGTGTATTCTTGACAGCATCTTTACTGTCTTCTTCATTCTCAGAGCTTCCCTCATCTTTCACCGTCGCTCCACCACCTCGGGTCTGCCTGCCACTACCTCGACCTTTCTTTTGAGTCTGCTTCCTTGCACCACTCCTTGTCCTTCTCTCAGGAGTCTCTGCTTTTTCCTCAACGGCCTTGGAATCAGCATTACCATCAAAGCTGGCCTCTGAGGCCGTCTCTGCATCAGTTGGGGTTTGTGAAGGAGGATCTCCACTTTCCACACTGGGAGGTGCGCTCTTTCTTGACGCTCTTTTGGCATTCAAGAGGAATTCCTCTAGTTTGTCAGTACGTTTAGGCTGTCGGCCACTACGGCGCACAGGACAGCGGGTTTCAGGGCTGTCGGTTACCGCTTCCACTGGCATCTCTCTCTTTGCAATGGTGGACCGACGGAAACCCCAAGTCTTCTTTAGCTCACTCTTGGCCTTTGAAGATTTATCTTGCTCCCCTACCAACTGTTTTGGCACATTCTCACTTTCAAGGTGAAACTGTTCCTCCTTCTCACTCCGTCCTTCTCCAACGCCTGTGAACAACCATTATTGATATCAAATCAGCATAACATTGGAAGAAAGGGAGAATGTTTTGCAAGCATGCATATGTAAGGCAAAACAAACCAAAACACAAAAATTACTGCTCAATTCTTATATCGCCCATACTTACCGTATGTCTAACCACATTTAAAATAAAAGTCCCTGACACCATAATTGTACCCACTTTTACTTTTTAAGACAAGGCATTGTGAAGGGGGGGGAAAAAAAAGCTCATTCAAGATACCTTGAGAGCAGCTATCCATGCGGTCCCAGCTCTGCTCTGGCTCAGGGGCTAGAGAGAGCTCAGGGCTCACATTCCCATCCATAGATGATGGAGTCACTATTTTCAAAATTAACGTCTACAGTTCAGAGAAAAGAACAAGAGACCGACTATGAGTCACTCTTTTCACTTTACAAAATGAAAATTACTGAGGGGTGCCAGCTTTAAGGTAGCACTAAGAATGCTTAATAACGTCATCATTCTTAGACATACTCGTTATATTCTTTTGTACTTACACTCGCAAATAATAATACTAAAAAAATATTTTTCCTTCTTTTTTTTCTTTTTTTTAAGTGCAGCTCTTCAGAGGGTATGTTATGACACTAATGCTATCATGCATAGGGAACCCTGTGGGTGTAGAGCACCATGTACAGCACCCATGGAAATGGGCGCGATAGCACAAACATCTTAATATCATTTAGGCAAACAGGATAAAGAGAATCATTCTACAGAGTCTGTGCTTTGCGATCTTTCCAGTACTGTTATGCCATATTTAATACAGACAAAAATCACAAACCCTTTTTTAAAGGGCAAAACCACAAAATACTACAAAAAATAAATAAAAATCAGTAACCATCCCGCTGTTTAAAGGCAGTGATGCACATCCTCTAAAACTAATGTTGCCATGGTTGAAATAACCTTTTTTTTTTTTTTAAACCGTAACCACATACTTTACTTTTAAATACACTTTAACTAAAGGTTAATAAATTATGACTTTAAGAATATGACAACACTTTATAATCTTAGACTTAACACTCATAATTAACTATAGCTATTCACAAGCCTAGACAAAGTTCCTGGTGGTCTGATAAAATTCCAGTTTTGTTTTTCTGTTCTTCTTGGCAGTTTGAGTTACAAGAATTAAGATGATGTTTCCTTTATATTCTCTAAAGCCAGAACTGCTGTTCTAATTTAAGGAAAAATAATGACAGGGAAAACCAATATCCATACCTGCAGTTCAGCAGATGTCTAACAAAGCAGTTCTTCAAACAAAAAAGCTTCCATAAATCCCAAATCATCAGAATTGGTATGAGGTTAGAGAACCTGAAAGACACAAGGAAGCACAAGTTAGGACACATTTATTTCAGGCTTCACAGAAAACAGACATGCAGCACAATGGTATGATGACAAAAATAACAAATTATAATTTTTAAATTATATTTTTATATTTTTAAAAAGTGACTGCTGCATTTTAAGAGCATGGGCAAATGGATGAAATAATCTAATCTGAAAGCATAAGTAGGCCAACCCATCACTTTACAAATACGCAAGTTCAAGTTTGCCATTTTCAGACAAGTTAGACCAAGTCAGAAACCTTTGGCAATTGTGTAAAGCCTTCTAGCATGAATATTCTTACGCAATGGACGCCTGAGTTTCCTGAAATTAGCGTTTTTATAAAGCCTTGCATACTGCACCGCCATCGATGGATTGGAGGGGGGTATCCACCCAAAGACTGCGAGTGTGACTGAACGGGATTTTGTCCAATGGTATGTCTGTGGTCACGACAACTCGCCACGTGAATGGGAGGACCGCTATAACCGAGGAAGGTGGGAGGGGCCATGACGAAAATAAAATTTCATATTATATAATATTGTGTATATACTTATACAGAAAAAAACAACTTTAACACATTTGCTAAAGGTTTACATCAGGATGCTGCCTGACGGCAGTCATCGGAAGAGACATACTCGTGTCCAGTACTTGCTGCGCGACATTTAAAAGGTAGACTGCACACGGCCTTAGGACGCATGATATAATCTAATTTCTTCATTGCAATACGGCATACCACACTGTCACATGATACTATTTAAAAACAGAACAAAAAAACCCAATGTGCAGACAATCAAGCTAGCAAAACGATATTGGAAAATCCGCATACTATAAGAGCAGACCCGTTCTTCACTCCTACATCTCCAGTGACGGCCGCAAAACATTCAACATTCCGCCAACCGCTTAGCTATTTACCATTAGCTCATGTAAACTACAAACGGGGTGCCACAAGCGGCGAAGAAATATTCAGTGGGAAACGGTACGCAACCCTTTCTATAACACTGAAACTACATTTGTATTATTAGGTTATTCTAGTCGTTTTTGTTTTGTTTCACAATGCGAAACTGCGTGTTGCAAAACGTGCACTTGTAGCCAGTAAGCTTAGCTAGCGCTGTTGGCCACAGCGAGCGTGGGTAAGCTAGCGGCAAATTCAACTTAAAATCATTAGCATTTAGGTAACCGTTAAAAAGCCAACATATAGTACAAACAAACTACGTGGGACAAGTATTTTGTAGCAAACTCAAATTTTAACCAATGTATACAACTGAAGTCGAATTTAAAAGCGTAACTGTACTCAAGCTATCGTCAAGCGAATCGTGTTCAACGTCCTCGCATCCGATACCTTCGCCCTAGACATGTTTGGTAGCAACAAAACACAAAAGCACGAACACACTCCAAAAATAAATATAACGGAACTAAAATAAATTAAGTTGCTGTATTTTACCCACCCATGCGTTATAAATACGGATAATGTCCCCTCGCTCTTTCGTGGGTCAGTCCTCCATTTTCCATTCCCTTTGGAGCTAACTGACTGCAGCAGATGGCTGACGGTTTACACAAAACGCTTTGTGTCTACAGCGCCCCCATTGGCCAGGAGGGAAACTAAGTAGAAGCAGAGGTCGACGTTCCGTCAATACGTAATCACTTTCAAACGGCGGGAAAGGGTGTAATTGTTTTGGGGTTGTTGTTTTTTTTTTAACAAAATGTGATTTGTCCTAAACTTAGTGGATTTAAATAAGTCTAATTCAGCTATTTACTTGATATTTGTCCCAACATGTGAATGTTTGCCAAATGAGCTCTTATTATTATGAGCTGATATTTAAAATTTACTTCAGTCACAACTCTTTCTATGTTACTTTTTTACTTTACTGTTTTTGTCACAATTTACACAGAAATGTACAATTCCGACCTCTCAAAAATCTGTTTTTGATAGGCCCATAAACGTCTACTTGGGGGCATTTGATGCAGATTATGGAAATGTTCAAATCTTAAAATGTGCCGCAGCTGTTTCATTGTTAGTACAGTCTTATAACATTTACATTCAACCAAACCCTAAGGTTCCCCTCAACTTTAGAGACAACTAAAAGATCAAATGTAAGACTGTTTTTGTAATCATATAAAACAGCTTGTTTAAAATGTGTATTTGTTACTTTCTTTGCAGTATACAACAGACAACAATAGAATAACAAATAAATTAACACAAAATACAAAATAAGTCATTTACAGACACTTCTGTCAGCAGTCCTCTAATCTACAACTGAGGTGGTTCATTAACACGGGTTACATTTCTGTAGTCATAAATGGTTTAACTGTTGTCCAATATACCACTGATATGTTTTATGACACTCAAGCATGCTCTTAAGCTCTTTATACTGGCAGCTGCCTATAAAGACCAGCAAGAGAGTGCAAGAACATACACTGTAAGCTATTTTTTAAACTGCCGCACTCTGCTGCCAGTCGTGTTTTACACCACTCTGCAGTGGGGGAACCATGTGACGCCCGAAAGGCAAACAAATAATATAAATAAAAAATAAATTGGTTTTTTTTTCACTTTCAATTTGGAAAAGGCTGTTGAACAGAATTACATGGACATATTATTGTAGTGGGAGGAAAAAAATTTACATTTACATTTTCAAGTATGGTAAGCGTGGTTATGACAAAGTGACGGCAACACTGTCAGTGCTCTTTTCCATGTCACAGTCTTTGTCCGAGGATGACGCAGAGGCTGGTGTGTCTCTGAGAGGGTTTAGGCCACCGCTAGTCTGCCCTAAACCTTTATTTGGGAGGTCTGCTGTAGGCTCGGCCTCAGGTTCCTGCTGTGGAGCCGTGGCTACAAATAAAACAAAAAACAGCCCAAACTAATTACAACTACCGTAAGAAATGAATGGTGGTTATACAGGCATGCAAATGGAGAGCATAAGAAAATACAGTCTTTGTTTTTGTCAATATGATCCTCAGCATGTTAGTGACGACATGCGCTGTTACCTGACTGAGTGCAAGACTTCATGTGTTCTGGCCAGTGGGCTTGCTGACAGGGGTAATCACAGTAGCTGGTATTCCAGCAGCAGTAGAAGATTGCCTCTTTCCTGCAGTTAGCACACCACTGTTTCTTCTTTGTCTCATCCACTGCCTGCTGCTTCTCCAGCTCCATCTGTTTCTTCACCTCGCTCACCAACCTCTCCCTCTCCTGCTCCAGACTTTGCCGCATCTCTGCCATCGTAAGCTCTACATTGAAGAACACAAGCGTGACCAAACACGGGTAGAACTAATTGTACAGTGTGAGGGGAAAAAAAGACTGCACGGTTACGTTGACTGATAAAGTTCACACCAAGATTGTGCTTCATTTCGGACAACTCTTGCTGATGCAACCACTGTAATTTCTCTATTTCAATCCTCAGTCTTCTTATCTGTAAAAAAAAAAAAAGAAAAAGATAAAGGCATACGAGGATAAGGAAATGAGCTGAATCGTTTTCAGTCTATATGCAACCGAGAGCAACCACCTACCTCTGCTACTGTATTCCCTGAAGGATTTTTTGAAAGGTCGTTGTAGATTTCACTCATTGTACCTTTAATTGCATCCATTATCTGAAAGAAAGAAGACAATTTTATGAGGATGTGTCATTAAAAATGATATACTTTGCCTCTCACCCAGACTAATAACACAAAGGTTGTTCTGTCACTAATATGTAGTTTTAAAGTTACCCAGTGCTAATGTATCTTGTGTATTTTTACTACACCAGCAGTGTTTCCAGTGAAAACATAAAACAAATTGCTTGTCTAAGAAAATATGCACTAACTTTATTTGTGTACTTGGCAATGTCTGCCGCCACATCTGCCGAGGCAGTTGGGATATACAGGTCTGTTGCCACTGGTGAAGGTGCAGCAGCCGTGCCTAAACTCGACGCTGCCATCATGGCAACGGAAGCTGGGCTACTGGAAACCAGCGTGACAGCTGAAGTGGACGTGCTGAGTAGGGTGTCTTTTTGTTGAACAGCTGGAATAAGAAACACTATTATTCACATGGTGAAACATGCAAGTAGAACATTTTCACTGTAGCCATGAAATTGTAGTATTCTAATTCATTTTGCTCTTTAGGTCTGTACGTTGTCTAACCACTCTTACATGAAGGAATCTTGACTTGTATTGAGTCACACAGTTTTAGGTCATACTTAGTTTAGCATACCGTGAAGCTTGTTTTTTACCTTTCACCGCCTGTCTGGTCTGATAGCGTGTGCTTTGTGAAGAGGAGGAGACTGCTGTAGAGCCGTTTGCAGCTGCCTGGGTCTGGGTTAGCACTTGCGTCTGGCCTTGCCTGGGAGATGACGCCTGCATTTGTGTGGTTGCCACAGGTTGCTGGTTTTGCTGCTGACGTTGCACCTTCTGCATGTGCCATTTCTGAGAGGAGGTCTGAAATTTAGCTGTGGGATTCCACACTACAGCCCTCTGTACCACTGGCACTGTCTCTCTAGGCAGCAGAGGGCGCTGTTTCTTCAAAGCCGGTGTGGTCGAGGTGGAAGTGGAAGGGGGGGGTGTTGCAGTGGCACTGGATGCAGACGCGAGGCTGATGGTTGCAGGAGAAGGAGCAGTGAAGGAGACCACAGTGACAGGAATGGCCACAGGGGACTGCATGGAAACACTAGAGGGTGTGGAAGGTGCCGTGCTGTTTTGAGATGGGGGCGTTGACGTTATAGAAGCTTTACCTACAGGAAAAATCATATCTTATTTGCCAATTTTGCCCATACAAAGTTGATAAGGTTTAAACAAAATAAGGACTATAACATGAAGTGTTAGACGATTTCTAGTCAGACACACAGAGAAAGTATAACTGTCACCTTCAACTTTACCAGTAGTTGAATCTTTAACAGTAGCGCTGTCTTTTCTTCTCCTTTTCCTTTCCTTGCCACCTTGCTCCTCTCCAAGATCAATAACCAGTTCCCTCTCTGAGTCAGAGTCCTCCACTGGCACAGTCTGCTTTGTCTCTTGTTTCACCTGAGACTTTTCTCTGGGAACAGGTGATTCTTGAGGTGCTTTGCTTTTCTCTGGGCTCTCTTTTTCTACTTCACTGCTCGTTTTCTCTTTAGTTTGAGCGTCAGACACCGTCACACTGGCTTCGCCAGCTGCTGATTCAGTTGCTACAAGTAAATCAGCTCTACCCTCCTCTTCATTGCTGGGGGAAGGTTGGTCTTTGACATTAGTTTTGGTGGGTTCCTTCTGGGGCTCCTCACTGGGTGCTGTGTCTTGTTCATTCTTGGTCTTCTGCTCCTCATCGCTGCCATACTCACTGTCACTGGAGTCAGATTTATCAGTCTCTTCTGAGTCACTGTGTTCAACACCTTTGTACACATCCACAGAGATCTCACCAATACCTACAAAGCAATGAAAGAGGCTGTCACATCACAATAAACTGTGTCCTGGGACATATCTATGAAGAAGGTCCCAAAATGACAAAAACAAACAAAACCCAATTAATATTTCAATTATGGCACTGGTAACAAATTATCAACACAAAGGAATTACAAAACTGGCCTCAGTAGTATCTCTACTAACCCAACTGAGCCTTGCAACTCTCAATGGTTTTGTCTAAGTTCAGCTGGAAACGGCTCTTGATTTGTCTTTTTGGAGATGTGAGGACAGGTGTGGCTCCTTGTTTCTGCTGAACTGTTTCACTCAGCTCCTTTAGGTCCATATCTGCTTTACTTCGATCTAGAGAATGTGCATATGTACATGAGCAATAAGGAAAGGTTTTATGATTTGACAGTCATAGTGTGTGCAGTAGAAGTGGCTTTTAAAATAGAGGGAGACATTTTTAAACACATTATTGTGTGTTGTAGTTTTTGTTACAAAGACATAAAGGATTCACCTAGATTAAGGTTCAGAATACTTCCTGTCTGTGGTGTCTTCTCCTGCTTGGGGATGCCAGGAGCTTGAGAGGGTAATGATTTGGGGCTGTCCAAGGAACCACCTGCACCACCAGGTCGAGGATGAGCTGGTGAGACTGTCGATAGATATTTGTTTTGAAACAAGGTCTACTGTCTACACAATGCAGATATAAGCAGACAGATATATGCAATGCTTATTACATATATATGTTTTTAAATGATGTTATCACAGTTGCTTTATATCAGCAGATATACTGATTTCATTTTAAAGGTGACTACAGGTTTAGTAGTTGATAAATATATGAATAACCACATCTGCTAGCAACATACTGCTCATAGTTGATACAGGGGAGGACTTGGAGTGGCACTCACACACCTGTGCAGTCCATGGACTCCTCTCCTGTACTGAACTGGCTGTTTGATGCTTTTGTCTGGGACTTGTCGGTTGTTTCTTGTTCCCCATCTGAACCTGTATGAGCAGAGGAGTTGGTGCTCATGGGTGAGCGAGGCATGTCAGTGAGAGGGAGCCGGCGTCCTGCTGCGCTTCCTCCCACCCCAGCCCCAGGTAACAAGGTCCTGGTCAATGCAATTTTAGGCGATGCGGTCATATCAAAACTCAGCTTGATCTTTTCTTGCTTCTCAGGTTTGATGGGACCTGACGAGGGGTTAGAAGGATCCAGGAGCATCTGAAAATTATTGTCCGGCGTGTACGGCGTCCTGAAGGGGGCGTAATTAAACACTCCAAACTTCTTTCTCATATTCTCCACATAGACCTCCATCTCTTGCATGGCACTGTTGAAAATGCTTTTGGTCTTCTTTACAGAAAAAGGAATTTCCTTGGACATGAGGTAACAATTGTTTAAAGGAACCCAGGCCCTGAAAGAAGAAGATCAATAATATGTCTCTCGTTTTAACACAAAGACTGTAATATGCCACCAAGCCCAAGAAACTGAAGAGCAAAGCACTGATACCTGTCGTGCTGCCCAAAGAAGCGAGCATCCACCTGCCCATCTTTGTCCCGCAGAGCTTTAGCAGGCCAGAATGGAAACCCTTTCAGTTTGGCCCACACTAGAGGGTGCGGGTTACTCTGCAGACATACAGTAAAACACTGGAACTACAGAGTTGTACTCTAAAGATTTGTACATTTGAGAAGGTTCTGATAGCATGATCAGCAGAAACTTCAGGTAACTCAGCTTACACAAGGCTCACAGAACCAGTTGTCTCTCTTTTGGCACGCAGATAAATAACACTCAGGGCAAACTTCAATCTCATTCATCTGAAAACAAAATGAAACAAATAAATGTGCATTTAAAGATGGCTAAATTAAGTTTCAGATGTCATAGTGTTACCCATAATGAAAAGTAAAGTAATATTTACCTCATGTTCACAGATTTTTACTATCACCTTAGCTGTAGTTGTAAGTTTGTGGTTGCCTGAAATAAGGACATGCAATTAGGTAAAAACTTTTAAATCTTTTAGTTATACGGTTATTTTATATAAGACAGAATTACTGTTAATTGTCCTCATCTGGAAATGCACTCTAATAACACATTAATATCAGCTAATCTGAGGAAAGTGTAATTATCTGCTATTAACACAGTCATGCATCGTGTGCATTACTATACTCATTATACCATAACTGTAGATAAGTGTAATACAGCTCACACATCGAGGAGCATACCTCCGTTGTATATAATACAATTGTGCAAGATCCATTTTGCATCCGCCAAAAAGGCCTCTGTGCAGCCATACATTTTCTTTTTGACATTCTGTGGTGACAAAAAGAAATGATGTTCAAATGTCAAATGATTCAACTTTTCCACATTTACACTATCCAATCGTCGCGACTGCTCAACGTATTACCTTCTCAAGTGTGCAGAGATCCATAGGATGAAATATATACTCTGCATAATCAGGATGCTGTTCAAGAGACACGGGTTTCTGGAATGGTTCAGTCTAGGATTATGTAAACAGAGAAGAGAGTGAAGCTAAATAAACTCAACTAAACCTTAGCTTTTTTTCAATATTTATTACACCTTAACCTAAATCTTATTTTTCAACACCTGTCCCCTCTGCCACAAACCAACATGCTACCACCATGCTACTACTAAAAGTTCTAAAAGCCGCTTCAAACAGAAGGAGGAATACTAGTGGAGGAAGAAATCATGACGGGGTCTTGTTAGTGGTGTAATTGATTACCCAATTATAAGTCTTTCTCTGCGTGGAAGCTGCATGGGGGGAGCGAGATGACAAGCGGGGATGATCCTGAAAGAGAGTGAGAGGGGCAGCTGTATCCTCACCACCAGCTAGGATATTTACTTTCATGGTTTCCAGCCATGTCAGGTCCATCATTATCAAATGATTGTTAGTTGTGTTATTAGAAATTATTAGCACATGCAAATCAATATTATACCATGCTGGACTGTTTGTGAGGAGGTTGCACCTCAGGATGTGCAGATTATCTGATATGACAGATGGTAGTACAGTTATCGTTTGGCTGCAAAAGGTGTCTAAAAATCACCACTGGTCAGCAAAGAGGAGATGCCAAAATCCCAGTGATATACTGCATGTGAACATACACATGAAAAAGAAATTTGTGCCTTCAAACTTTTTAGCAGCACGAATTTCTGGAAACACAGGGGTAACAGAATACTTACACCTGGTTGTTTCATCTTCTGCAGGGCAAACTTTAGCAGGTAAGACAGCTGATCTATAGTAAGCATCATCATGGCTTTGCTTTGAGTCTCTATACACTCGGCAACTGTTATTTTCTAAAAGACACCAGGAGAAAACAAACACTTTTGTTATATCTGCACTGAGCATACGAAAGCCTGACAACCTATCTTTGTCATCTACAATCCATACTTACTGGTTGGTCTTATTTTATTAAGCCAATATAAGTACAGGATTAACCTACGCTTTACAACACTAATATATTTTTCACATTCCTGAGTGAGTACCTCACACTCCGGACAGAACCAGTCGCCCTCGGGCTCGGCTGGTAGTTTGAGACACTTGGCGTGGTACACCCTGGGGCAGAGCTCACAGCAGAGCACCTGGCCCTCGCGGTGGCACAACCAGCAGTAGAAGTCATTCCTGCCGTCCTGCGGTACAACATCAACAGGGTCTGTGGTGAGTGCTGGCTGCTTCACATAGTAAAAGGGACCATGTCTTAGTTCTGACTGGAATGCAGGCAAAAGAAACACAAAGTTGGGGGAGATCAAAATCAGGCCAGAGATTAGAGAAGCCAAGCAGACATGCAAAGCATTGACAAAAAGCACACAGAAGTTACCATCCAAAACACAGACTGACTCTCTTACACACTGACTGCTGTTTTATGAATCTACCATAAAAGAATTACAAGTCCAGTTATTCTAGGTAATGTAGCTTCATTCCGTGATTTCAGTCTGTGTTTTATAACATAAAAGGGGAAAACAGTGTGGACAATCTTGATGGGAATCAAGGTTGAGGGGATAACTAATTATTTACAAAGGACAACATAATGGGCAATGTGATTTACCACCAATCATTTATCTAATGCAATCATATTATCTCTGGGCACTCTGGGGACTTCAATCATGCCTCACTATCTGTCACTCTCCCTAACTTCTCCCAGTATGTTGACTGCCATACAAGGGACAGCAAAACCCTGGATCTATTGTTTGCCAACACAAAGCAGGCTAACAGTGCATCACCCCTCATCCTGCTTGGCCACTCAGACCACAACCTGGTCCTTCTCCACCCCACTTACACTCCTATGGTGAAGAGGAACTCCCCCACGAAGAAAGTGATAAGGGTGTGGTCTGAGGAACGCACTGAGGCCCTAAGAGACTGTTTTGAATGCACAGACTGGCAGGAACTCTGCAAGCCTCACGGTGAGGACATCGACGCCCTCACCCACTGCATCACGGACTACTTTAATTTCTGTGTTGAGAACACTGTGCCTTACCAAGAAAATACAGTGTTTCTCAAACAATAAACCGTGGGTCTCCCCACAACTGAAGGCCCTGCTGAACAAGAAGAAGAGGGCTTTCTGGTCGGGAGACAAGGAGGGACTTAAGAAAGTCCAAAAGGATCTTAAATACAAGATCCGAGAAGGCAAGGAGTGCTTCAGGAGGAAGACGGAAAACCAACTCCAACAGAAAAACATCAGAGAAGTCTGGAGGAACATGAAACAAATCTCTGGCCACTTCCAGGACAATGGAGGAGCCACAGTGTCTGCTGGCCGGGGGTGGGCTAACAACTTGAATCTGTTTTTAACAGATTTGACAATGGCCCACTTATCACCTCTCCCACCCCCCAGGTTCCATTAACCCTCCTCCAGTTGCCGCCCCCCGGGTGCAATGCCATTGTCACCTGAGCTCTCCTCTCACCACAACCCTGCTTCAACCCTATCCACACATCTACCCACAACAGAGCCAGCCCCACCCTCCATTCCAGCCCAGCCTCACATCTACTTCACAGCTGAGAAATCAGCTCAAGAGGATGAAGGCAAGGAAGGCAGCAGGTCCAGATGGAATCTGCTCCAGACTGCTCAGGGACTGTGCAGACCAGCTCTGTCAGGTGGCCCTGTACATCTTCAACCTGAGCCTGAGCTTGGAGAGGGTTCCTGAACTGTGAAAGACTTCCTGTGTGGTTCCTGTGCCAAAAATCGCACAACCCAGGGAGCCCAACCACTTCAGGCCTGTTGCCTTGACTTCTCATCTGATGAAGACCATGGAAAGGCTCATCCTGCACCACCTTCGGCCACTGGTGGGCTCAGTGATGTTCGCCTACCGTTCTGGAATTGGGGTGGATAACGCTGTCATCTACCTGTTACACCGATCCCTCTCTCACCTAGAGCAGGTGGGGAGCACTGTGAGGATCATGTTTTTTGACTTCTCCAGTGCTTTCAACACCATCCAACCTGCACTACTGAGAGGAAAGCTGGAGGGAGCCGGAGTAGGCAAACAGCTGACTACATGGACCATCGACTACCTTACCAACAGACAACAGTATGTGAGGCTCCATGACTGTGTGTCCGAGGTGGTAATCTGCAGCACGGGGGCACCACAGGGCACGGTTCTCTCACCTTTCCTGTTCAGCCTTTACACTTCAGACTTCTGTTATAATTCGGACGATTGCCATATACAGAAGTTCTCAGATGATACAGCCATCATTGGATGCGTATCAGACGGGAATGATCAGGAATACAGGGGGGTCGTCAGTGACTTTGTTGGCTGGTCTGAGACCAATGTACTCCAAATCAACACCGGCAAGACAAAGGAGATGATCATAGACTTCAGGAGGAAGTCACCCCCTACAACACCGGTGAACATCCAAGGGAAAGACATTGAGATAGTGGACTCTTATAAGTACCTGGGTGTTCACCTCAACAATAAACTGGACTGGACTACAAATACAGACGTCCTGTATAAGAAGGGTCAGAGTCGACTCCACCTGCTGAGGAGACTGAGGTCCTTCGGAGTCTGCAGGACTCTGTTAAGGACATTCTATGACACTGTGGTAGCATCTGCCCTTTCCTATGCAGTGGCCTGCTGGGGGAGTGGATGCACGGACAGGGACAGGAACAGGATTGACAAACTGGTGCGGAGGTCTAGCTCCGTGCTGGGATGTCTCCTGGAGTCTGTAGAGGTGGTTGGCGAGAGGAGGATGTTAGTAAAGCTGACATCCATCATGAACAACCCACATCACCCACTGCATGAGTATGTGAGTGGGTTGAGCAGCTCCTTTAGTCAGAGATTGAAACACCCTCACTGCAGGAAGGAGCGCTTTCGCAGATCATTCATCCCAACAGCAGTTAGACTCTATAACTCCTCAATCACGATGTCATAAGTCACTGGACACTGTGAACATCCACGGTCACCACTTCATGCATAATGGACCTTCCATGTGTATGGACATGTGCAGGTATATATGTATACATATGTATATTTAGTGTGTACATGTGTGTGTACATGTCTATACATAGGAATAGTAGTGGTACAATAGTTATGTCAAGCTATATATTTTATGTCTTCCATATTTCCAACCATATCCATAATCACATACTGTGTATGCTGCCATTGTATATAGTGTATTATCTTACTTTTTTTCACTGATTGTACTTATTTGTATTTTTGTATTTCCTTCTGATATCTGTACCTGAGCTGAGGTGACACAAAAACTTCCCCGTTGTGGGATCAATAAAGTCTTATCTTATCTTATCTTATCTTATCTTATCTTATCTTATCTTATCTTAATGTAAATTTGTGATTTGCTTTGAGCAGAAAGCAAGCAAAGCGTTCACATGGCAATGCAAGCTAAATCATAAGCCACAAGTAATCATGTAATTATTATAGTATAGATTGTAGGGAATTTTACTGAAATACTGGCAACTATAAAAGCATTTGTTAAAATTACAGCTGCACAGACTTCATTTTCACATAATACTCAGGCATTAACAGTATTAATCAGGTCAAAACTAACAGACAAACATAAAAAATATTGGACATGGCCTCTAAATCTTATATAAGCCCTATCAGAAACTTCCCAACGATACAATACATCACAAAAGAATTATCTTGTGCTATTAAAATTGTGTAACTTATTGAAGTCTGAGTTGACTTAAACTTCATGAATACTGTAGCCTGATTTGTCCATGCCTTTCACATTCAGAAGGGACAATATCCACTGCTCTTTGCAGTAAATAAATCTGGCATCTTGAATACACCTTTTGGCAAAATCACCAGTGATTGGTAATGATACAATATCTATATAGGCTAGTGCAGGATATTTAATCCCATATATTGAAAAGCAAAAATTCAAAAGAGTGAAGTGCTGATATTTTCTAGTAACATGTGATTCTCTCCTAAATATTTTGGATCATCTATTATTACAAATTTGAACAAAACCCCCTAAAACCCTTTTACATTATCAGTGCCACTAGATAAGAAACAAAATATTTTTGTAATTATCTGTGAAAAATGAGCCTTTAATTAAGATAATACATAAGAGCAAAATATATTTTCTTTTAACTATATAAATGTATCTTTAAAAAGTTTGGACTGTTGATATTTTTTATCAATTTTACTTAGGGCTGCACGATTAATCGTTAGAAAATCGCGATCTCGATTCATACTTATGTGCGATCTCATTTCCAAATGGCAACGATTTAAAAAAAAAAAAAAAAAAAGACGACGATTGTACCGCATTTTGATCCGGGACGTACTCTGCATGAAAACAAGCGCTCACTTTTCCTGCTCAACATATGACAAGGGCGGAGCCTTATACCACGTGATACAGAAGCTGTGCCGTGTGAAGCTAAAATTGGCAGGGAAAAAACAACGGAGAGCACGACAGGGATGACGAGAAAGTGACAGGAGAAAATCCGTTCCGGTCAACCACCCAAACATCAATAACGGGAACCTTATACAGCGCTTCCCTAGACCCGTCGAACTCTCGCAGGCACAAAGAAATTACGGAGGCTATCACTTATCACCTGACCAAAGATATGGCTCCCATCAACACTGTGCAAAACGAGGGATTTAGGAAAATGATCAACACCCTAGACAAACGCTACACAGTGCCGTCCCGCAACTATTTTTCTATTGTTGCACTACCTGCTCTATACACGCAGCGTCGAGCAACGGTGGAGACGGAATTTCAAGCAGTACAACATTTTGCGGCAACAACAAAACGTGAGACATTTGTTGTTTTTATGTTTATTTATTGTTTTTATGTTCAGTCTCAACTGTTACGAAGTTGATGTGCAGTTAATAAGTGCAATAAATATTTATACTGGAAAAGAAAATCGTGAGAGAATCGTGATCTCAATTCTAAGCCAAAAAATCGTGATTCTCATTTTATGCAAAATCGTGCAGCCATAAAATATGATCAACTAGTTGTTGCTGTGTTATTATTATAAATATAGTTTATTTATAAAAAAAAAAAAAATCCTCAGCTGTGAACTGACTGGTACCTGGTCTTTGCTGCTGCTAACAGCACCTGGTTTCTTCTTCTTTTTCACTGGGCACGGTGAGGTCTCAGCAGAGGAGTGACCGTTGGATGACTGAGAAGGACTGGGCATCTTTCTTTTTGGTGCCACCCTTTCTGTTGAACCAGCCTCTGAAACTGCAGACAATAATCAGAGATCAAACAGACATATTGATTCTAAAAGCAGGAAAAAGTATCAGAAATGACAACCATCTTTTCTTGAACTCACACAACTGAGTGGCGCCACTAAAATAGCTTCTTTCAGATGTAATCTTACTTGCAAGGGGTTGCCACAGGTGAACTGTGAGTTAGCTCGTCTAATTCATAGTAATAAACCAAACCAAAATCACTTTACACATAAAAAGTTTAGAAACGCTGCAGGTGGAGAAAGAGAGCCTTACCATCTGAATACCTTGCATACTTTATTTTTACCTTTGGACCGTGTTGAGATCTCCATTTCTTCTGTTACAGCCTGTTCTTCTGTTTTTCCCTCTTCTTCTTCTTCCAAACTGAAAATAACATTGCCACAGGTATTCAAATGTGTAGTGCAGTCAAATGTAACAGTCAGCTGAAAATGTGTCATATTGTTATTTTTCTAAATGTTTCGGAAAAGGGGAAAAGACACCGCATGGTGTATGAGGAACGTTACTTTCTTAGTGTAATTACGATTGAACCAAATTGCACGTAAGAAAAAGGACCAGAATTAATAAAGCTCACTGCTGAATACAAAATAACCTCTCTTATTAATGACTTCCAGTTGTGAGGTTCATTAGTAGGTATGCAAGTGGTCAGGTTTTCTTAACCTTATTCTATAACTTTCTGGATCACCTCCTATCATGTGAAGAAAAGTTCTTTTAGAGAAAAAATGACAACAGGTTTCTGGTGAGAGTTGGGTCACATAGGCGAGAAGAAGTGTCTCAGTATTTCAAGAAAGGAGCTGAGCTAAAGTATTGCAGGTTTCAAAGACTTGATGTGAATGATATCCAGCAGTAAGTCTATGTCATGTCAAGAAATAATTCCTTTGATTTTCAAAGGTAAAAAAGGTGAGATTGACTTTAAAAGACAGAGTAAGCAAAACTTCAACAGCACAACACTACAAAACCTGAAAACAAATGCTCCACTGGTAATAGTCCTAACAATTTATGTGAATGTTTTGCAGCTAGAAGACTCAAAATGAGAGAGCAAACCAATATACCAGCAGCTCAGAACAAAGGCCACATCTTGATCTCAAGGAAAGTTAAAATTAACCAATACTGAGACAACATGAGTACAATGTGTGCTGCCATTCTCCATTTATTAGTATTAGACACTTTTCTCTACTGACCTAATAAATAGTAAATATGAAAACACAGGAAAGAAATGTCTGCGTTTTCTGACATCCAACAAGTTAACAGCATGTAAATAGTCTAAACAAAAAGTCATATTCATTAATCGAGCCAATACCAGCCAGCGCATCGTAGTGGAAAGCACAATCACATCCACAGTTCTGTTGGAGAAAAAGAACATTCAAATGCAATCCAAAATGTGCTCTCAAACCAACAGGTTTTTTCTCATCTGAGTCACCTTGGTTTACAGGTGCTCTGTTGTCGTTTCTTTTGTTATTACGGTTTTCTCTGACGCCACAGCAGATGCAGTGGCCTCTGTGCTCAGATGAACCAGGTTTTTTCCATATTTATTTCCCTTACACTTCACAAAAACACCTTTTAAATGTATTGTTTTCATCCAGCTAGAATACTGCTTCCATTTCGATTATCTTGTTCCCCAACCCCCACACCCTTCAACCTCCTCAATCCCTACAGTAAGATGAAATGACATCCAGAAATACAGCACATCTACAGACAAAAATAAGAGTGCAGTGAAACTGCTTTACTGGCCTCCTCATCCAGCCTTTCTGGACAGCCTTAGACAGTTTACCCCTGCACCATCATGTCCTGTCCAGGCCAGGAAATACAACAACACACAAAGGGAAAGAGAGACAGGAGGGAACTCACTGCTGTCTATCCTGACAAAATCCCTTTATAAATCAGAGACCACAGCACGTTCAGTTCAGCACATTGTAACCCTGTAACCTTCTGACACATCCCCTTCCACACCCACTACTGCCATAACAATCATGCCTCAATGTAGGAAATGAACGGCATACCTTTTTTCCTTACTCACATACAGATTCTTCAGCCTATTCTTTAATCTTTATCTTTATCAATTGAGGACGTTGGGGGATGAGGGAAAAGATGGGTCCAGGTTTCCCAGAAGGCCTTCTCTCCCTGCTGCTCTCTCCTGCAATTGACAATCTTTAACCTCGGCTGCGAGCTGCCGATTGGCTCAAGCACCACACGGAGGTGCCTGATTGGGTGCTCAGCTCGGTGTGCCACACAGGCTCTCTTCTCCCCGCTCTCCTCAACCACAATGCTGCAATGCAGAGAGGACTGATCCTCGCTGTCACAAAAACAGTCGTGAAAACCAAGTCCCTCACTGCCTTAAAACTCCATCCAGTCATACTCTGGCTCTGTTCCTTTTATCAGACATGTAAGATGCAGCCCTACGGGCTTGACAAGGAGGGGATCAGATTCCTTCTCTCTGTGCTCTCAGCCAGTATATGTGTATGGCGTCCATTTTGAAGACTCTCTCTCTCTCTCTCTCTTTTTTCCTCACGCTCTCTCTCTTTGGCCAATGTGCACACTGCACACATAGCACGTACACACAGCACCAGTCAGATCTGCTGCACAGGACCACATGCAGCTTATGATGTGCCCCGGCATGCTGATATATAGCAAGGGCCCTAAAGGTGGACACAAAGATGAGGCTGAAAAATGTCACAGGCCTTTTACACACTATGGACTGCATAGCCTCCTTCCTCCATCTACTGTCAGCCTGAAAATCTGAGCACACAGTGTGACGTAAGCTGACCGTTAAAGCAGAGGTATTCATTTTTTTAAGCCAAATATATTTATTTCCTTACATCAAGTACCTCAAAGACATGGATACAAATAGCATACACAATTCAAACACAGTTCTCATAAAACATAAATACAGACTACGAGATAAAACAGATACACGCTTAAACGTTTGACACTAGGAAACCGTTCTTGGATACTCCTGGTAAAAAAGGAAAGCGTGATGAGCGAGGCACAGAAGTCACTAAGAATTACTAAGCAAATGACCAGTTTTCTGTGGGAAAACCATACCTTAAAACATGTTATATCTATTTAAACATGCGAGGAAGGACTCTGTAAAGGCACAAACCAAACTAAAAAGGCTGTATGTGTAGGTGTGAGTGTATCTGTACAAATCCTGAAAAAAAGCGTAGTGGAATTGGGGGGGATTAAACACATTACCAGACACCATTCACAGCAAACTGAGTGTTGACTTTGTTGTTTCAGTCCTTACAAATCGTTCCTGAACCCTGGTCAAGCACATTTATAAACACCATATTATATCCAGGCCATAACCCCACTGGTTACATTTGACTTGCTCTGTCCATTATAATCATTGTCAATAATATTACATGGTATATAAATAATGTTGCTAAACCGACAGAAAAATGACACAATCATTGACTGAATTTAAAATGTGTATCTTCTCCATGCACACAAAACACCAACACCATTATGCATAAACAGAATTCAATCTAACCTGGTCGACTTCAAAAAGGCTGCAAAAGCTTCTCTGGATGAGATGAGGTTTCTGTGCAGAGCCTTTTGAGAGGAAGTCCTTCCCTTCTTTCCTTCTGTCTTACATACAAATACTCAGTGTGCTTGGAGCAGAGGGACAGAAAGGGGAAGCTCTCTAAAATGGCTGACACTCAGCAGCAGAGAACAACACTGGGAGGCAGTGCACACCATTAAGCTCAGGCAGTTTTTCCAAGCTCGTGATAAATAAGCAGCTACAGCATATTTACTCAATAAATAATTTGTATTTTTATAATAATGATGATCAGCTCACAGGCTTTTTAACAGCATGTTTGTTTGTTTTTTGGGGGAGGTTGCATTCCCCTTTCTGGGGTGAACTGGGTTCCGGATGAAAATACAGTTTTATCATTTACAGTCTGTTCTTCCCTGCCGTGTTAGTCTGGCAAACAATTAACAAGAGTACCCTGCTGCCTTGCTCTCATTCTTGTTCGAGGTCTAAATTAAACTTGCTGTGCTGTCAGTTTACCATCTGTTAATTCCTCTGGGATCTCCTCTCTGAACTGCTCTCCCATCCTGCCTGGTTTCTCTCACTGGGCCTGTCAAAGGCCAGGGACAGTCACAGAACGTCACTTCTCTTTTGAACTTTACAAAAGGAAGCAGGTTTTCTTAGTCAGACCATACAATGACCTTGGATGTGACCTATGGCCCTCTACTATGCATATTCACAGAGCCAACCAGCTAGCAGAGGCTGTCTGTTATACTATACCATGCATTGCTCTCCTTCCAGGCTCCACTCCTGTGCTGTGAGTGACAAATATGCTTCCCCTCCCCCATTCTGTCAGACAAACCTATATTATTACTCAGGCACAGATCTGGTGCCTCATAGACAAAGTAGTATATGTGGAAAAAGATGAAAATAAGGCTTACCTCTGTGGATGCATGGCTAAATACTCTGTGTGATATGTCAATGCTTATTAAAACATGGAGGACAGCCCTGTCAGCCCTCACCCTGCTCAGAGCACAGCCACGGCTCTCCAAGCTGTCCGACTCAACTGTTCAGATAAAAGCTACGCTAGGACTGGCTCCATGTGCTGTCAGCATATAAGGCAGCTGCTGATTGGCTGGTGTATTTCCTGGCTGCTTGTCTTTTGTTTAGCACAGGCAAGCTGAAACGCAGTACTCAGAGCTAGCAGGAATCTCTAGGCCCAGATCAAAATAATCAGCCACTGACAACCCACACATAACAAGAAGCCTGCAGACAACTTGCTATAAAGGAGCTCTTCAGTACAGCTACGAACAGCAGTCAGCAGTCACATGCATAATAAACAGGCCCGTGTGGTGTTAGAAAGGAATTTGTCTCACAAGTTTCCACCCTCAAAGTAAGCTGACATCATGGGAAAGATAAAGAAACTGCTATGTAAATAAAAGCCAGTGGGTAGGCAGACACGACATGAAATGCACTCTGTGTGTTTGACCTGTAAAGGTTCAGTCTGAACACCAAATTACAGTCATGTGTTTCAGTCATACCTGGGCCTTTGAACTGCTGTTGTTTGTTGTTAACAATGTGGTTGCAGTGGTTCAGTTTCTGTTATCACTTTCAACCATGCAGTATAATTCAATAAGAGTATAAGAATCTGTATGTTACTTTATATTTCATTGTAAAGGGTTCACACGTGTTTCTTTTTTACATTAAGCTTTATTTTCACTTCTAGCATTAAGTGAAACCTATAAAGCAAAAATTTAAAGTTGCCTAATTTTGACCAATTTTCTGTATAACCTTTTTTCAGTCTTTCCTGTCACTGAGGAGCGATTTTGAACCACTCTTCTTTATAATCCTGCATAAGTTCATTGAGGTTTGCGAGTATTTCTTTATGCACAGCTCTCTTAGGCCCTGGCACAGTGTTTCAGTCAGTTTCATGAAAGCTTTCACTATGGCAAAGCAAGCTCAAATAATTACCCCTCCACGACCATGCTTGACAGTTGGTATGGGGGTGTTTGTGCTGATATCCTGTGTTTGGTTTTGGTCAAACATCTCCACTTTGATCTCATCTGTTCAAAGGACATTGTTCCAGAGGTCTTGTAATTTACTCTGATGCTGCTTTGCAAAGCTAAGCGGCCCTGTAAATGTTCTTTTTGAGTGAAGAGGTTTTCTCCTGGCAACTCTTCCAAATAAGCCATACTTGTCGTTTTCTATTTTCTTTCTCTAATTGTAGTGTTATGAAAATTTGACGTTATAAACATTTAACATGCTAACTGTAAAGCTACCCTACATGTCTGTAGTCCAAATTGTAGCTCCTGGCTTTTTTGCAGTTTCTCTGAGCATTGTATAGGCTGACCTTGGGGTGAGCTTGCTGGGAAGATTGGCAGCTGTCTTTAATGTTTTCCACTGTTGAATAATCTGTCTCACTGTAGAATGACTGACTTCATGTTGTTCGGAAATGGAAATGAGGAGCAGCAATTACTTCTCTAAGATCACTGCTGATGTCTTTCTTCCTTAGCACTGTGTTAACACACACCTGAATGCCCCAGACCAGCAAACTGCAAAAAAAAAACAACTTTCACAGAGGTAGTCACACCTCATCAGTTAATCAAGTCCATTTGATTAGCAGTATGTGACGGCTACTTATCCTCTTAATTCCTATAGAAAGAGCAAGGGAGTACCTCTTCCTGTGAAAACTACGTGTTTGTCTCTTTGAAAATAAATAAAATGCAGTGCGATGGACCACAGAGGTATTATCTGAAATTTACACCCTTAACTTTCTCATTCATGAAAACACTTTACTCTTTATAACTGAGTCATTAATATTCTTCAAACAAAGAGCCCACGGAGCTGGCTTGTTTAGCAAAGATATATAGACTCATAGCTCAGTGCTCACTGCCAAAATAAAATTGGCATTGGTGACGCAAAGCCATCTACAGAACAATAAACTGCAGATAATAAACTACCCACCGCTCCTGTTTTCTATTCTAAATTCCAGGCATACATCTTGGCATGGAGTAATATGCTAAAGAAAGGAAAGCTCATTATTGTTCCTCTGTGAGGAAATGATTATTCAAAAAAGCCAGAGTGCAATTACTGTTGTATATTTCTGAAAACGTAAAAGGTTTGTCTTTTGAGCACCACCTGGCTCATTTCCTCAGACGTTTGTGGCCTCTCTTCTACAGGAAGTAAGACAACACTGACCTCTAGTGGTAAAACGTTATCACAGCATGCCACTCAGTAGCCCATAAATTCACTGGACGTCAAAAATTAACAAATTTATCTGAATTAATCTTCTAGTCCAAATGATAGCTTTTTTCTGTTGATTCAGACACATATGCTGCCAAATGAAGGAAATGAATGTTAGATAAAACAAGGAAAAAAAACTGCCCAAATTCTTCTCTTCGTCTGTATCTCAAATCACTAAATACCCCTTAAACCAGTAACTGCTAGCTAGAAAAGTACCGGGTGTATGTAATCTATGATACATGATTAAATAGGAAGTTGACATAGAAACCTGTAAAATAAACTATGACTACACATATAACTGTGTAGAATCAGACTTTAGAGGTCCTTCTGCTGTCTCAACATATAATAAAGGTTTTAGGTATGATAATGAGAAAATTGAAAATTAAGACTCCTTTCGTGTATGTAGCCTGTTGGTTGCTACCTACCAAACGTTTCTAATTCATGTTAATAAAAAACTGTGTGTCGGGTATATGAAGAAAAATAAATATCATGTTTCCTAATATCAAATGATAAGGGAACTGTTCCCACGACACCTCTCTAGCCAAATAAAAACAGCTCAATGATTAGCTTGATAGTTAGCTATAGTTGTTACCGCATAACTCATTTCCAACCATTTTATGGTCGGAAAAGAAGTCGGAAAAGTCTGACATATAAACTTTAATATACTTGTGCCATACTTGTCTATTCAAGCCGTACGGTTAGGTGTCCACACTGTAGACTCCGCCCTGTGACCTTCGTATTTGAGTGGAGCTGGAGAGCTAGTAACTAGCCTGGCAGGCCCCAAGATGGCGCCCTAGT